GGCCACCAGTCTTAAAGACAGAGGGAGGCCGGCCGAGGGCCTGGCGTTGAGCAACTCTGTGGTCTGAGGCCAGTCTCCTAGCCCATCTGGCTGCCAATGTTGCCTCCAAACAATGGCAACCTTAGGGCCCGCCCCCAGGCTGGCCAGAAGACAGGAAGATCATCGAGGCAAGTATGGGACCTTGTGTTCCCCAGACCAGGCCATAGCTTCCCACGACCACCCCACAGGCGCCAGGGTTCCTATCTGCGAGGTTTGGGCGAGAGCTCATCATCTGTCACTGCCCCTGAGTAAGTGGCGCAGTGCCACAGGCAGCTGAAACCACTGTGTACTTCCCCTCCATCATGAATGAATCTGTATTATCTTTATGACCAAGCACCTTTGCCTGGAAATGGGATTCTGACTTCGTAGAAATTCTGCAAAGGGAGAGATTAGAAGGCAGGAGTCTCCTAAATCCCTTGGCCAGGATGACTAGCGGGTGGGGCAGAGGGGCTTTTCTTCCCTAGATGAGTTTTTCTCCGCAGAGCTCCCCCCCCCCCCACCCCGGGGAAGCAGGGAAAGTAAGTGGCACTCCCCTGGGTCACCCTGGGTCAGCCTTGGGGGACTCTGGTTTGGGCGTCTCTCTTGCCAGGAAGAGGGTCCCTGGGGATGTGCCCTGGGTCGGCCCAATGCCTCCTTCCCCACTTTCCCAGCAAAGTTTGGGTAGTCACTCTCCATTTACCTTTGGATTAGCAGGCCTGATCATCTCCACCAAATGCACATGGGGCTTCCACACCCTCTATCCCACGGATGCCCCTGAGCCCTGTAGGAAGAAACCACAAGCTACTCTAGACGTAAGCAGTCAGTGGTTTCTAAAAATGATGGGAAAGCAGGAGTCAACACAATCTCTTATTTGAAGATTCACTGAGGGGCGCCTGGGTGGCTCAGTGGGTTAAGCATCAGAACTCTTTTCCACTTAGATCATGATCTCCTGGTTCACAAGGTTCACGAGGTCGAGCTCTGCGTTGGGCTCTGTGCTGACAGTGCAGAGCCTGCTTGAGATCCTCTCTCTCTGCCCCTCCTCCCCCCACCATCTCTCTCTCAAAATAAACAAACTTAAAAAAAAAAAAAAAGATTCAGGGGCCCCCCGGGTGGCTCAGTCAGTTAAGCGTCTGACTCTTGACTTCAGCTCAGGTCATGATCTCACGGTTTGGGAGTTCGAGCCCCGCACTAGGCAAAGCCTGCTTGGGATTCTTACTCCTCCTCTCTCTGTTCTTCCCCTGCTTGCGCGCACTCTCTCTCTTTCTCTCTCAAAATAAATAAATAAACTTAAAAAAAAAATTCATTGAGCACTTTCTATGTACCAGGTTTGGAAAAAACAAACACAGTCTATTTCCTGCGGGTTTCCACTGGATCAGTAGTCAGGGAACGTTGGTCAACGTGGAAAGAGCTACCTGTACGTTTAACCTGAGTTTCCACTAAGTCTTAAAGGAAAAGGAGAAACCAGCCAAGGTGTGGAAGGCAGTTCCGCCTGGAAGGAAGGAAGTGAACATGCAAAGACCCAGGCCCGGGGAACATTCTGGAGATGGCCTGGAGCCTCAAGAGATGTCAATGGGTTGGTGGCTGCCAATGAAGCTGTGGCAGAGCACAGAGCCTTCGACGCGTACAAACCCTGGAGGTATTAAAAAGCCACGGGAACCTTGGTACTTGGCCGAACCGTTTGAGACCAAGAAGCTTTGCAGAATGCACCTTACGAGGGAGATACATAGCTGTCCAAAACATGAAGCCTCACGGCCACGGCCACCCCCCTACTGCCCAAGCCTTGGGAGTGCCTCCCCTCCCTAGATATCCCAGCGCTTTCAAAAGAATTAGAGCCAACGTGCCCTGAGCACGGAATATGCGCAAGGCACCATTCTAAGATTTGGTCATGTATAAGTCCTCACACCGACCCGATGGGGTAGGTACTGTTACCAGCCCATTTTACAAATAAGGAAACCAAGGCACAACTGGGGAAGCACGTTGTCAGGAGTCGTACAGTTCTGGGTGGTGGAGCCTGGACAGCAGTTTATTCCCCAGAGTCAGTACACAGAGAACGCAGCCCCCTTTCCCACTGCAAGCCCTGACCTTCTCCAGCTCTGATAGCCCCTTTCAGGACCATCCCCCCTCCCCCCGCGCCCCCCCAGCACACTGCCCCTCCTCTCTGCTCTTCCAATCAGCCCTGTGCTCCAGGGCACCCTCGCAGCAGATAGGAAGTCTCTGCAGAGCCCAGGCTCATTTGGGGACCATGCTGTTGTTTAAGAGATAGGAGTTTCGGGGCACCTGGGTGGCTTAGTCGGTTGAGTGTCCGACTTTCGCTTAGGTCATGATCTCGCGGTTCGTGTGTTCGTGCCCTTTGTCTGGCTCTGTGCTGACTGCCTGCTCTGAGCCTGGAGCCTGTTTCAGTCTGTGACTCCCTCTCTCCCTGACCCTCCCCTGCTCACGCTGTCTCTCTCTCTCTCCTAGAAATAAATAAAACATAAAAAAAAAAAGAGAGAGAGATAGGAGTTTCTCCAACCAGACTGGAATTCCCAGAATTCCAGAGCTGTTTTGTCCTCCTTATTTTCCCCCTTCAACATTTCCCTTCCCCCACCTAAAAAATGAACTGTCACTCCTAAGGTCGTCATCACCCTCACTGGGGGAGGGGGGCGCGCCCCGGTCCTGTCTCCCTGCAGGATTTACCCAGCACTCTGTCTTCCCAGCACTCCGCTCCGTGCCTGGCAAACGCAGGCACTCAATGAAGGTTTGTGAACTGGATGAATGGACCTGACTTGTGTCAGACCATTATAATTTACAAAGCACTTTCTCATCCATTAACTCCAGGGTTATTCCTTGTGAGTCTTCCTTGTCCTTCACGGGCTCAGCACAGAAGTGTACGGTCATGGTGCAGCCCTCTCTTCTCCTTTTCCTGAACGAGAAAAAGAATGAACCCCTGATTACAGAGAGGAGGAGAATCCATTTCATTAGCCCACAAGCATCTTGAGGGCAAAGACCCAGTCTTATTCATTATTATATTTCAATACTTAGCACAATGCCTGGTGCACAGAGCCCAATATCTGTGAAACGTGGTGAATAAATCACTCCCCCCTCTGCAGAAGTAACTAGAAATAACAAGAAGACTTCCTCCTTGGGGTGCCTGGCTGGCTCAGTCAGAGGACCATGGGACTATTGATCTTGGGGTTGTGAGTTCAAGCCCAACCTTGGGGGTAGAGATTACTTAAACAAAAATAGAACTTAAAAAAAAAAGGACTGTCTCCTCCTAGAAGCTGAGGAAGAATGAGACTGAGTTACTTGCATTCCTAGCACACTTTGATGTGCAGAATCTCTTGTAATGCTCAGCTCTCTGATGGGGAAGAGGTTACTGTTCTTGTTTTATACGCGGCAAACGGAATCGCAGGGAGGCTGGGTGTCCTGCTCAAATCTCACTTAGTCCCCCCACAGACTGAAGACACAGTGGCAAAGGCAGCCAGGTGCCTGTTCTCTCCTGGAGAAGCAAAGGGCCAGGCCTTTGTCTTCTAGATTCCCAAGATGCCTGTTGTTAGCATCTCCCCGTTCCTTTCTGACTCATAATCTTCGGTAGGGTGGCATCCGGAAAGGGGGCATGGCCCAAAGCACCCATGTCCTGAGAGGTGACCGTTTAGGTGGCACTCAAACTGGATCTCAGGGGCGCCTGAGTGGCTCAGTGGGTTAAGTGTCTGACTTGGGCTCAAGTCTTGATCTCACGGTTTGGGAGTTTGAGCCCCCCGTCGGGCGCCGTGCTGACGACTCGGAGCCTGGAGCTGCCTCGGATTCTGTGTCTGCCCCTCTCTCTCTGCCCCTCCCCCGCTCACTCGCCCTTAGGAGTCTCCAGCTTCCTACTGCCCATTTGGGAACAGATTGCAACATTTTCCAATCTTCACACAGCTGGCCCGGGTGAGCCCAAACCACCCACATTCATGCCAGCGTGACCAAGAGCAAATCCACGGTTCACCCCCATCATCTCCTCACCCCTGAAGAGAGATGACACACACACACGCACGCACACGCACACGCACACGCACACACACGCACGCACTCAGAGGTAAAGGAGGGGACGCATTCTTGGCGGTGCTGGACGTGGGCTGAACGTCTGAAAACCGTTTTCTGGAAACCCTCCCCTGCCGGCCTTCTATCCGCAGCTCTCATTCCAGACTGCCATGAGACTTCCCCTCCGGCCCCGGGAGGGTCCCTCGCCCCCTCCGCGCACACAGCCCCCTCGTTTCCTCGGGGCTCCCTACTCCACTCCCGCTACGAGACCCCAGGGCGCCCTCTAGCGGACGCGGGCGCGGGGTGGGGCCGTTGCTCGCCCTCGGGCCAGTCCGGCCCGGGAGAGCACCTGGCAGGACCCACGCCGCACCCCCAAAAAAGTCGGAGCCCCAGATGTGTGAAAGCGGTTCTTGTTTGTTTGTGTCTGGCTTGCTGGTGGCGGGAGGCGGCGCTCCTGTCAGCGCCGGTTGGGACCTGGCAGTGGGCCACGCAGCCGCGTCCCCCGCATCCCTGGGACTCCGGGCGTCCCCTCGGGGACATGCCCGCACGTCCCCCCACCTTCCCACTTCAGTCCCCAGGCCCCGCCGCAGTCTCGCCGCCCGGCTTTGGGGTGTCCCCTGTTCCCTCGCGGCAGGCCCGGGCCTCCTGGGGCCGCGATCGGGACCTCGGGGCGGGCCCGGGAGGGGGCGAGGGGGTGTCCCCGCGCGGTCCGAGAGGAGGGGAAGGGGAGCCGGGAGCCTCTCCCGCTCGGCCTCCTGGAACTGCCCGCGCTCCCGGAGCGGGGGCCCCCGCCTCTGCCAGAAACCTGCCTTCTTAGAAGGGAGGGGGGAAAGTGTGAATGAGAAGTTGGGGGCGGAGCGCGCGGGGGGAGGGGCCGCTGCCAGGAACGCGCCGCCGGGGCTGGCGCCGCGCCCGCCGGCCGCCCGGGCCGCCTCGCGCCGCGCTTTGTCTGTGCGCGCATCTCGGCCGGTCCCGGCCCCGCTCGCGGCCCGCCCTCGGCCGCCCGCGGCCCCTCCTTCGCCCTCCGCGCAGCCTTTCATTGCTGCGAGTAGTGACTAAACATTACAAGAAGGCCGGCCGCGCAGTTCCAGGAATCGGGGGGCGGGGCGCAGCGTCCGCGTATATACCCGCGAGCGCGGCCTCGGCGGCGGCTCCGACTCACACTCCCGCGCCGCCGCCGCCGCCGCCGCCGCTCCGGCCCAGCTCCCGCCGCGGCCCCTCGCCTCGTCCCCGCCGGCCGGCCCGGGGGCGCGCAGGGGGCAGGGCGGGCGCCCCAGCGAAGCCCGAGGGACTCGCGCGCGAGGCCCCTTTGTGGACTTCACCGCCGCCAACATCTGGGCGCAGCGCGGGCCGCCGCTGCTCGCCGCGCTGCCGCCTCGCCTTGGGGACCGTAGGAGGCGCAGCCCCAAGGCCGGAGACTTCGTTTCGGGACCAGGTAGGAAGGAGGGGCGCGGCGTGGAGCGGGGCGGGGGGGCGGGGGGGCGGCTCGCTAGTCCCAGGAGCTTTTCCCGGTTTCCCCTCCCCTTCCCGGGTCATTCCCGGCAGGGAGGGGACGAGGTAGGGGGCAGAGCGGATGGAAGCCGGAGATCCCAGGTTCCCGGAAGACCCAGGCTGCGCCCTCGGGCTCCCCCAGTCCCCTCCCTCCCCCCCCCTATGCCTCAGATTTCTCCCTCCGTCCCCGCCGCTCGGGGCCACCGGACCGAGCGGCGCCCAGAGCGTCCCGGGGGCCCTTCTCCCGCTCCCCACCCCGGCCATGCTCCTGGAAACCCAACTTCCGCGCCCGAGTTTCCCACTCGGCGCTCCCCCAGTGCGTGGCCGGGGAAGGGGCTGCCTGGGGCCACCTCGCCGGCGGGGACGGGGGCGGGGGCTGGGCGGGCTCCGCGGGGGGCCCGGGCACGGGGGGTGGGGGGTGAGAGAAGGGCTCAGACGGGGGCACAGGGGGCGCCGGGGCCGCTCGGAGGAGGCTGGGGAGCCGGGGCGGGCCGGGCGCGCTGGACGGTTCCGGGCACTCACGCGGCGCGCCCCTTCCTCCCCGCAGCCCCCCGGGATGCGGTAGCGGCCGCTGTGCGGAGGCCGCCGAGCAGCTGCAGCCGCCACCGCGCAGATCCACGCTGGCTCCGTGCGCCATGGTCACCCACAGCAAGTTTCCCGCCGCCGGGATGAGCCGCCCCCTGGACACCAGCCTGCGCCTCAAGACCTTCAGTTCCAAGAGCGAGTACCAGCTGGTGGTGAACGCGGTGCGCAAGCTGCAGGAGAGCGGCTTCTACTGGAGCGCCGTGACCGGCGGCGAGGCGAACCTGCTGCTCAGCGCCGAGCCCGCCGGCACCTTCCTCATCCGCGACAGCTCGGACCAGCGCCACTTCTTCACGCTCAGCGTCAAGACCCAGTCGGGGACCAAGAACCTGCGCATCCAGTGCGAGGGGGGCAGCTTCTCGCTGCAGAGCGACCCCCGGAGCACGCAGCCGGTGCCCCGCTTCGACTGCGTGCTCAAGCTGGTGCACCACTACATGCCGCCCCCCGGCGCCCCCTCCTTCCCCCCGCCACCCACCGAGCCCTCCTCCGAGGTGCCCGAGCAGCCGCCGGCCCAGCCGCTCGCGGGGAACCCCCCCAGGAGAGCCTATTACATCTACTCCGGGGGCGAGAAGATCCCCCTGGTGTTGAGCCGGCCCCTCTCCTCCAACGTGGCCACTCTCCAGCATCTCTGCCGGAAGACCGTCAATGGGCACCTGGACTCCTACGAGAAAGTCACCCAGCTGCCCGGGCCCATTCGGGAATTCCTGGACCAGTATGATGCCCCGCTTTAAAGAGCAAAGGGCAGGGGTCGGGCGAGGAGCCCGGGCGCCCTCTCCTCCGTGGCACAAGCACAAGAATGCTGCCGTGAGAGTCCTGCAGCTCCGGGGGGAGCCGGGGGAGCGGGGACAGGCCCCTCCCTTCGGCCCCCCCTCCCCCCCCTGCAGAACGGGGACCTGGAATGTGTCTGCGGGAAGGGGGAGCGCCGCCTGAGCGCCCCGCCCCCACTCCAGCGTCTCCCGTGGAGCCCGATGGCCCGGTAGGGACAGCGACGACAGGCAGCAGTGGATTCTCCTCTCCTCTTCGCTTCCTCGACTCCCCCTGCATTTCCAAACAGGGGACACCGCAGGAGCGTTGAACTCGTGAGAACTGCCCGGGAGTCTTCAAACTTTCCATCGGAACTTGTTTGCTCTTTGATTTGGTTTAAAACATAGCTTTAAACCTGAGCAGGTCTCCGGCCTGGAAGAGGGTGGAGAAGAGGGCGCCCCCAGGGGCCTCAGGGCTGCAGGCTGGCCTCGGAAGTGGCCACTCCCACTGTCCGCCCCAGGTGAGGAGGGCGGCTGCATGCTCCTCCCCCTCTCCTCCCCCCGGTCCGCGGGGGCAGGGGTTAAGGTCAAGGGGTGACCTGAAGGGGGCTACTCTGTCTCCCTCTCTGGAACAGCCACCAGGAACGCAGGTCCCAGAGTCCATCGGGTGGCCAAGGGCCCAGGGCCCTTCCCTCGTTTTAAGGGGGAAGTGGCCTTCGGAGGGGGGGAGGCATGGGCTGGGCAGGTCTTTCCAGCACCCGTGCTGTACCTGGGAGCTGTTGGGAGGATGGAGGACATAGCCATCTTTGACCCCGGATCTCCCACCAAGGAGATGAGGGATTCTACTTTGTGCCTCCTGATTGTCTGGCTAGGAGATTTGCCTTAAATGCTCCCTGTCCCATGGATAGGGACCGGCACAAAGTAAGCCACACACTCAGCCTATCCAGGCAGAGGCCAAGGGATTCTCCGCGGGCAAGCTGCTGGCCACTCAGCCTGGGGGGAGCGGCTGGCGGAGATGGGGGTGGGGGTGGAGATCCACGCCGCCCAGCCTTCCAGCGGAGCCCTGGAAGAAGGCGAGCCCGTTTGGTATTGGCCAGTCACAGGTGCCTCAGGGTGCCTGGAGCCTCCAAGTCCCACAGCCTCCCCATCCCCCACCAGGCCCTGCACAGCCCTCACCTGGGGGTGGGGGCGAGGGCACAGGCAGGAAGTCATTGAGAGACTGGGGCCCCTCTGTCACCCCAGCTGCTCCCGCTCTGTAATAGCACTGATCAGTGAAAACTTACAGGAATGTAGCAGCGGTGGAATGATCTGGAACTGTTCTTTTTCGGGGAAAACTGAACAAACACAAAAGTTTTCTGTGTCAGGTATTGGGCTGGATGCGGCAGCCGTGCGTTGGGGTGTTTTTTTTTTTCCTGTTATTTTGTTTATGTTTTTTAATAATGTTTACAATCTGCCTCAATCACTCTGTCTTTTATAAAGATTCCACCTCCAGTCCTCTCCCCTCCCCCACTCAGGCCTTCGAGGCTGTTAGGAGATGCTTGAAGAACTCAACAAAATACCAATCCAAGTCAAACTTTGCACATATTTATATTTATATTCAAAAAAGAAACATTTCAGTAATTTATAATAAAGAGCACTATTTTTTAATGAAAACCGACTGGAGCCTTTTCCCCGCCCCTGCTCTGCCTTGCTTTCTCTTTCACCCACACCCACGCGGCGTCCGAGGGGAGGGAGGGGGGTGAGGTGCGCGCTCTGCCCCCTTGCTTCCCCGGGCGCTCCTCGCGCTGGAATCAAGTTCATCTTCACCACGTCACTGACAAGCTAAGGCAGCCACCTAGACTGTACCGAGAGGGGTAATTCCTGCTAGTCTGATTCAGATCTGACCAGAATATGCAAAGCAAGTTCGAAGGAAGCGCTTCAAAGGGTTTGCAGGGAGTAAGCTGAGCTGTGGTCAAAGCTTTTAGAGGCTCCAGGCTATTAGAAGCGCTCTGCTCCTTGGCTGGGAGGTGTTCCGAGAAAGAAAGCCCAGGCGCCCAGGCGCCGGGGTCCTGGCGGTGACCCGTGACCTCAGCACAGCCAGGTTCCTGGGAGGTGGGGGAGGGGTGGGCACTCCATTCCTGGGAGACGCGGCCTGACCAATGAACCCACCGGCCCTCCCAATGACAGTGCGCATCTATTTGCCTGTTTTCAGTCACTCCCACCCTCTGGGCACTTAGAGGCTATCTGGGTTAACCCTCCCAGCCCCGCAGGGCAGGTCTTAATCACCTCTGTATTCTCAGAAGCAACTGTGGGCTCCACGAGAGCTGGGGGCTTGCGCTGGTCACTTCTGAGGCCTAGAGCAGGGCTCAGTCAATATTTGTCCACTGAGTGGGGCAGCCACTCAGGTTCACGGAGGTTAAGCAACCTGCCCAAGGACACACCACTTGGGAATGTGGGAAAAACACAGGATTGGAACCTGGGAGCGTGAACTCTCTCTGCCTCCCTAAGCACTAAGTATGTGCCCAGGGCTGCCCGTCGGTGCATCCCCCTGCAAAGCCAGGGGTGAGGACCCCTGCTCTGGGGTCTCAGCCTTAGGGTTGTTGCCAAACACACACACACACTTTCTCCATGACATTTTCCTCCCATGCTTCCTCCCCCCAAGCCCCAGACCTGACAGCTGGAGAGATGAGTGTTATCCCCAAGTCAGGGGGCCCCATCCCTTCCTCCAAGCCTCAGACGCCTGAAACAAACACCAGAGGCCTCTTCCCAGGCCCTGCCCCCTCCCTGGGCCCTCTATAAGCTGCTCGGGGAATCAGTATCCAAAAGGCAACTGAGAGTAAATAAAGTCGTTTTTCTTTCCCATTTCCTAGACTTTGGGGGTGAAATAGTGTAATGATGTAGGGGTGCCTGGGTGGCTCAGTCGGTTAAGTTTCCGACTTCGGGTCAGGTCATGATAACACGGTTGTGGGTTTGAGCCCCGCATCGGGCTCTGTGCTGACAGCCAGCTCAGAGCCTGGAGCCTGCTGTGGATTGTGTATCTCCCTCTCTCTCTGACCCTCCCCTGCTCACGCGGTCTCTCTCTCAGAAATAACTAAAACATTTTAAAAAATAGTGTAATGATGTAAAGTGACAAGGAAGGGCCAGGCTAGAGACGACGGAGTGGACAGAGCATGTCGGAACCACTCCAGAGAGACTGCCATTTTCCAGAACTGGGAACGCAGACCCAGGTAAGGTCACCTTCCTAGAGCATGAGGTCAGGCGAGGGGACCCAGTGCGGCCTGGCTCATCCCAGGAGGAGGGGAGCCTGGGAAACTCCTGGCCGGCTCTTCCCTGTTCAGGCGCTGTTTTGCCAGGGTCTCCAGCGTTGACAGGGCTCTAACCAAAGGGCTTGATCTTCTCTGGCCCAAGGGGAGGTTCCTCTCTTCCCGCCCCTCCCCCCCTTGGCAGGTCGAACTCAGAGGCAGGAAGAAAGACCCCTGACCCTTATTCCCTTGATTCCCTCTCCTCCCCCACCTCGTTCCCCCCACACTTCTTTCTGTCTCCCCATTTTCAGACCACGGGGCTGGACCAACCCTCTACTTTTGCAGACAACCGGAGTCCCAGAGAAGGAAAGCAATTTGCTAAAATTCACACAGCAAACGAGTGGCAACAGCAAGAGTCTCTTCCTAAGATCACTCTGCTCCCCAGCGCTCCCTCCTGTTTTCCCTCCTCACCCTACCTTCTGTTGCATAAATCTGTCTGTACTTTACAGTCCTTTGGGGAACAGACCCCTCCCCCCAAACCAGGACTTAAGGGGGGGTGGGGGACTCCGTCCTGACAACCAGATGAGGACTCAGCCTGGTTTCCAGATTTGCTAAGAAGCCTGATCAGACACCCATGCCTTGGGGGGGGGGGGTTAAGAAGAGCGAGGCTGGGGGTCCCCGGCCAACAGAAAGGGGAGAGGGTGCTGCTTCCAGGCCCCGTGCCCTATTCCACTGCGTCTGGTGTTGTTGAGAATCCACCCCCAAGAGGCCCTATCCTCTCCGGTGGTGCTGTTTTTGGGCAGGCCTCCGGGTGAGCCAGAGCCAGGAATGGGAAATCTAAGGCCTGCTCTGGGGGGAGGGAGCCAGGGAGGCCACAGACAGGGGAGCAGGAGCTGGGGAAGAGCCTGCACGTTCGGCCCTAGTCTAAGGAACCAGGAAGGCAGCTTTGGGGGCGGGGGAGGCACCGCCGGGGTACCAGGCCCGGGGAGAGAGCGTCACAGACGGAGCCTGAGCAGGGACAGAGGGCTGCGGGGTGGGGGTCGACGCGGCCGGGGGCGGAGCGGGGGGACCCAGGCCGAGGCTGGGAAGAGCAGGCCCCGGGCGCACCTTCCCGCGCCGCGCCCCGCCCCCTCCCGCGCGGACGGGCGGGCGCGCGCGTCGCTCCCAGGCCGGCCCCTGCCCGGAAGAGTCACTTCCCGGACGCCGCGGGAGCCCTGGCGGAGCTATGCGAAGAATGTCCGCGCTCAGCCCGGCGGGTGGCACCTCCCGGGCCCGCGCCGCCGCCGCCGCCGCCGCCGCGCCCAGCCGCGCTCGCGCGCGGAGGGCAGGCCCCGCCCCCGCCACGCCCCCGCCCCGCGGAGCGCGGTCGCCGTGGCAACGGGATTACGGGCGCGCGGCGCTGTTTATTCTCAGCCCAGTGCCAGGAAATTCGACGGGGAGGCTGCCAGGCGCACCTCCCTGGGGTGGGGGGCTGGAGGGGGAGGAGAGAGGGTGGACCGGCGCGCCCGGGGCTCCTGCGGGAGGGAGGCAGGCTTCGTCACTGGGGGTCACTGACCCCTGCGGGGGGAGCTGCTCAGAAAGCGCTGGCTCTTTCCTGGCCAAGTTCCCTCCTCCCTGGGGAACCGAATCTCCCCCTCCAGGCTGGCGAGCCCCCTCCCTCCGCCCCCCAACGCACACTCCTTCTGTCCAGGGATCCCGTCCTTGGAGGCCCCCAGCCTGTGCTCCTGTCCTTCATTCATTCTTTCACTCCCCAAATATCTATTGAATACATCCTGTGTGTCAGAGGATTGAGCGCAGAAGGAGACAAGGCCCTGATTGTCCTGCTCTCCTGAGATTTAGCGGGGGTGACAGACAATGAACTAGTAAATATGTAAATAAAATAAATACAGACGGCTACTAGGCTACTCGTATTGCCAAGATGCATCTTCGAGTCATATTTCCAGTAGGCGGCACATCCCACATCCTGTGTCGCCCTCAGGTAGGGTGACCAGCTAGTCCTGGTTTGCCCAGCAGCCTGAACGTTCAGTTCAGCCCTGAACGTCCAACAAACCAGGCCACTTGATCGCCAGAACACACCCATTTCAGAGATGGAGAAACTGAGGCCTGGAACACAAGGGCAGTTCTTCCAGGGTCATGTGGTCGATTAGAGGATTAGAGAGAGAGCAAGAGCCCAGGGCTCTGTCAGCTCAACACTCTTCACACACACCGCCCCCCAAAGTGCGGAACTGCCTGCGGCCAGCTCCCCAGGGAGCGGATGAAATTGCTAACTCCCAGACTCCAACCTCAGCTCTTCTGAATCAGAAGGCCTGAGGATAGACCCGGAATCTGAATCCTCAACAGCTCTCCAGGTGACTCTCTGACCATTTCGTTGCCGCCTTCCGGGAAGACAAGCCCAGATCCTTCTCTCTTCCTGGGACAGGGAATTTCCTTCTTGAACCCTGACTAAGCTCATCTGGGAAATCAACAGGGAGGGAAAGCCTGGGTTCACGGCCCGCACCCCGGCAAGCGCAGGCAAGTGCAGCCCTTCCCTCTCCTGGGCTCCAGCTCCTGAGCCCTGGGCCTGAGAACAGGGGGCCCCACAGGGGAGGAGTGCGGTGTTCCTTCCCCCCAAGGCTGAGCCCTCCCAGCTGTACTGTGCTGGGAACAGGCCAGGCATTTGTGAAATCCTTGGGTGAGCCTGACCCACTGTCATGAGGACGGCCTGTGGAAGCTGGTGCAGGGAGGGGGATGGGGGGCTGTTCCCAGAAGCGGGGAGAACTCTGGACTTCCCACTCCTGAGTGCTCTGCATTACAGCATACCCTTAAGCAACAGCAGCGGCCTGGAAGGCTGCATTGCAGAGACTCAGCAGCAGCTGCAGGCTGACTTCTGAAGCCGGGGCTCTGAATGCTAAAAACCTCATGTTACCCTGGTTAAACCATCACTGTGGCCATTCCTTGCAATAATCGGGCCCAGCTTTAGGAGAAGGTTTGAAAAGCTAGATTTACAGAAAAAGAAAACAGCCAGAATGCTAGCTTGTTACTTACGTTACACAAGGAAATGTTTCCTCTGCTTCACCTCCCTTCCCCCAAATCTCCAACCTTCCTTTCCCAGAGAAAACGTTATTTGGTATCTGCAGCGCGCAGATGTTAAAGGTGAAGGCACGGAATAGAACACCTGGTCCGTCAGGAGGGCACTGCACCGGACAACCGCAGGGGGCGCTGTTCGCAATATGATCTTTGTGGATGGTGTCCCCTGAAGTTGTGTGATGGGGGGGCTGCAGTGTTTCTGAATTTTAGGGTACAGCAACAGGACATGACCCTGGCCTTAACAATGCTCCAAACCAACAACAAAAACCACCCTCCAGGTGATCCCGGTGGCGATAGGAACCCCCTTCTGGGCACCGTGACGAATGCTGGAGATCAGTGCTAAGAAGCATTCAGTCATCAAGAGGCTTACAGTCTGAAAGGGGAACCAGAGGTGAAAACCAAGAAGTATCCTAAAAAGGAATAGGTGTAAAAATAAAATGTTATACAGCCTACAGCTGGTGGCCCCAGGAGGAAATGACCTTCAGTGGTTTCCCAGAAGAGGTGACACTCGTGAGCTAAGGCAAAACGGCAGGTGTTCCCCGAGCAGGCAGGCGTGGGACAGAGGGGCATTCTAATGATCTGAAACAAGGAAATGGCCCGGAAAAGGGAAAAAAAACTTTAGGGAACTTCAAGAGGTTTGGTATGTCCCCATGGGGCACATCCCCACCAGATTCATCTTCTAAAAATACTGCTTTTATTACGTCACACACATACACAGCCCATGGCTCATCCCTGTAGGATCCATATTGGTTCCTTGGTCATTTTCTTCTAAACGGAATGGAAAGCCTAGCCTGGTAATCTCCCCACACCCTGCACCCCACGTGCCAGAGACCCTTCCTTCCACTAGGGGGGTCTCCTCACCTGCCCACCGCACACACGCTTCCCCCCCCCCCCCACTGTGAGCCCATGTCATGCTGTGTTGGGATTATCCAACCCCACTGCCCAGGCTGCCCTTTCCCTCTCTTTTGCTTTTGGTTTTTGTTTTTTAATGTTTATTTACTTTTGAGAGAGAGAGACAGCGTGAGCAGGCGAGGGGCAGAGAGAGAGGGAGTCACAGAATCCGAAGCAGGCTCCAGGCTCTGAGCTGTCAGCACAGAGCCCAATAAGGGGCTCGAAGGGCTAGAACTCACAAACCATGAGATCATGACCTGAGCTGAAGTCTGACACTTAACTGACTGAGCCACCCAGGCGCCCCCCCCCCTTTTTTTAATGTGGCTCTCTTTTGAGACTGCCCCCTTTCCCACTTCCTCCCTGAAGCTCTCCTGGACTCCTAGTCCTGGACACTTCTCTCCCGTCGTTGGAAGGCAGGCTATATGTGCATCCACAGCTGCTCATTTATCACTGGGTCATGTGGTATTATTGTTTCTTGGTTTCTTCTAACTGGGCTAGAACTCTTTGAAGGAAGAAACTCACTCATTCATTCCTTCGATGATTATTTATTAAATGCACTGTATCTTCTGTTCTTTTAGATTTTTCACAAAACCCAGCAGATTAGGTGGTACCCAGTGGAAACCCACCAGGCACTTGACCCATGGCTGCTGTACAAAAGAAGAAATGTCTTTTTTTTTTTCTCCTTTGGGAGAGAGAGAGTGTCTGAGTTGGGGAGAGGGGCGGGGCAGGGGGGGGAGAGAGAATTCCAAGCCGACTTCAAGTACAGCACAGAGCTCAACAAAGGGCTTGATCCCACAACCCTGGGATCATGATCTGAGCCGAAATCAAGAGTCAGATGCTCATCAGACTGAGCCACCCAGGTGCCCCCAAAGAAGAAATGTCTTTAAATAATGGGGTTTCAGAAGTCATTACAATACTGTCACCCACAACTTTTACTTTGGGATGCAAACAGGCATCTTTTATTTTTAGTGCCCTATGTTTGCATAAACATTCTGTTCTGTTAAACAGTCTGTTCTTCTCAATGCATCCTGGTACATGGTATCGTTCCACATTCCCTACATGCCTCTGATGCAAGTGAGGCAGGTAAAATGAAATCGATTGCGTTTTCCAGATGAGCAAATCGAGGTGTAGAGGGGATTTAGACCCGCCTCAGATCGCACAGATAATTAGTGGTAGAAGCAGACTTAGAACATAGATCACTGGTCTTTGGGTCCAGTGCCCTTCCCACAACTGCCAGCATCTGTGTGTGAGAGCCCCCACCACCCAGGACCTCCATCTAGCAGCGGCTGTGAAGGCTCCCCAGGGGATTCAAATGGCCGCTGAGTCCACACAGGCCAGCTCAGCCCTGGGAGACAGTCCTGGGGCCGTCATTCTTGATGATGAGAACTTGCCTGGTCGCGGGGAGCACCAGAACCTTCCATCTCCCAATAGGCAAAAGCCTCAGATGGGCGCGCCCAATGCTCATAGAATTCCCAAGGAAATTCCGGCAAGACCTGTGGCCAACCCAATGTGCAAGATTTTGCTCGAAGCCTCGGAGAACCCCAATATTACCCTGAACTCTTCTTCCTGGAAGCTAGGGAAATAGATGAGATGACCTCTGTGTAACTTTTTCTGTTACAGAACCCTGTGGAAAGGAGGCTGGAGGGAGAGGAAGCCGGCGCTGGGAGGGAGTGCTCCTCCAGCTGTTCCGTGCGGTGCTCCTCGGCTCCTGGAGAAAGTGGGCAAGAGGGTCTGGCAGGAAGGCTACCCAGGAGAGGATGCTTGGAGACCCACCGGCTTTGCCTGGTGGGGGGGGGGGCAGTCAACGGCTGTGGCATTCTGCCCTGCACACTGGGGCTTCCCCGCTGGACTCCTCGTGGCCATCACTCCGGGGTTTGGCCGGGAACTCAGCAAGGACCCTGACCAGGCTCCAGCCAGAGCCCTGGAGTGGAGGGAGGAGCCCAGGAGAACAGCCCGCCGGCCCGTGGGCAGGCTGCCAGACCTCTCCCGTCTAAGAGAAGGAGCTGAGAAGGTCAGCCAAGGGGCCCAGCTGCAGCAAGAGACTTTGTGCCCACAGCAGGCTGAGGACTGAGCTGGTCGGTCTTGAGTGTCAAAGGGGAGGGGCCTCAACCCAGGCAGAGTCCGCAGGCCCTGGGGTCACCGGGCTGGGCGGAGAGAGATTTGGACCAGAGCCACTGAAAAGGGCCAGATGCCCCGTAGAGGCTGCAGACCCCCAAGGGACAGGCGGGGAAGGGGTCACAGATGACGGGACGACTTCCTGGACGTGCACAGGGTGGACACCGTGCGGCATGCACGTGCTGAGCTCCCTCCGTCTATAAATGCAGCACATGGTACCACCCCTCGGAGGTGCACTGTGTTATCTTTCCATGGGCCCATGTGTGACAGTGAGTCATCACCCCAGGCCTGGTCCCCACCGTCACCGATACAGCTAACCAGGAGGCGACTGACCAGGACTCAGGGCGAAGCTGCTGGCCGGGGTCCCAGCTCTTCTCTGGGAGGAGAAAGCAGGCCTGGCCCAGGATCCAAAGGTGTCCCCAGCCTGTGAGGCCGGGAGGATTCAAGTCACGGAACCAGCCTGCCCAGGATGAGGGTGGAGGTCTGCTCCCCCGTCTCAGGGGCCCTTCTGGCTAGTCTCTGGAGGGTTCTGTGGGAAACAGACCAGGACCGCTGGCCTGTGGAGTAAGAATAAGACAGGTTCACGGTCCCACAGCGCTCCCCTTGGCCCTGCCCCTGGACAAAGAGTACCCCCACCAGCGTCTTGTATTCATTTCACAAACACCGTCAAGTCGCCAGTGCGCCAAGCTCTAGTCTAAGCACTTGAAACGTGAACGGTTAATTCTCCAGGAACTCTATGACTGAGGTCCTAGGATTGTCCCCAGTTATTTCGTGGAAGGAACGGCCAAATAGCTGGTACTGTGACTCGCCCCAAACCATCAGCTAACCAGGAACAGAGCTGGGGTCCCTGGCCACGGCCAGGACCTGCTAACCCCACTGAGGTTACTGGCATGGGAGCTGCCCCACCCCCCACTCCCGGACTGGTAGAGGGCAGAGCGCGGGCTGTAGGGGAGGAAGCTGGGTGTGTGCCCCCATCACTGCTTCCTGGCAAAGGACTTTGGGCGAGCACCTCATGGCCTTGCCTTGGTTGCTAATCTCTCCATGGAGGATCTCAACAACGCCCGCTCATACAAGGCCAAGTCAAAGCTTTATTTTTACTAGCAGGGGCTCCCTGGGATCAGCAAGATCTGAACATGTCCAGTTCACCCAACATCCAGCCCCACGCACTCCCGCCTGGAGGAAAGTGGCGGGGCCACCGGCTCTGTGGTTTCCTGTCCCCAGAGAGAGGGAGGAAGACGCGGAGGGAGCACTTCTTCCCGTCTCCTCCTTGGTCTCTTCCAGCTTTTGCTTTGTGCGTCTGCTCCATTTCCTTCTTGTTTTCCTCAACTGCCCTCCGTCTGGCTTTTGGTGGTTGTACGACCTTCCCGCGGAGTCGCCGTAGCAAAGGACCGCGCACTGGGAAGTTTAAAACAAATGGACTTCCTCGCGGTTCTGGAGGTCAGAAGTCCAAAGTCAAGGTGTTCCTGGGACTGCACTCCCTCTGGAGTCTGGGGGCGGTGGGGGGGATTCTCCTGCACTTCCCAGCTTTGGTGGCTGCCAGCAGGTCCTTGCCAGTCCTGGGCTAATGGATGCGTCACTCCGTCTCTGCCTCTGTCTTCACGTGGCCTTCTTCTCTGTGTGTCTGTGTCCAAACCCCCTCTTCTTCTAAGGACACCAGTCATTGGATCGGGGCCCAAACTCATCCAGCATGACCTCATCGTAACTAATTACATCTGCAAAGACCCGATTTCCGAATTAGGTCACATGCACAAGTTCCATGTGGACAAGAATTTTGGAGACACGATTCAAGCCAGTTCTGGGGGGGGGGGGGTTGGTTCTGCAGGATCTCAGATTAGGAACTTTTTTTTTCTTTTTTTCCTTGAATCTTTCAGGAAGAGCCTGAGAAAGGTGTCCTTCTTTGCTCTTGGGGCGTAGGGACGAGCAGAACGTCCCTTTAGGCTCTGTTAAGGACACCTTGAGCAGAGGACAGACTGAAGAGGTGCCCACGGATGAAGCCCAGTAGTGGGTCTAGCCAAGGACTGCATGGCCAAGGGCAGTGTCTCTCAGGGAGGGGGCACGTGGCCAGAGCCCGCCTGGCACGGCCGAGTCCCCCACAGACATTGCCTCATTTAGCTGCAGAGATGCTTCCTGCATTTCTCTGGTGAAGAGCTCTGTCTTAGCAACCTCAGATGACCCCTCACACAAGAAAGAACATCCTCTAGAAAGCTTATTCGGAGCCTCCATGGTCAAGGCGAGGGGGGTGGGGCAGGAGGAGCCCCAGGGCCAGGCGTGGGAAATCTGGCCAGTACCCCAGCTCCTTGGCATTGTTACCCAGGGAAAAGTCCAGGGGATGCCCGACAGCCAGCTCTTTGCAACGCCCTGGGTTCCTGACAGTGAGGTGGCCACGGGCACACAGCAGTCTCCGTCCCTCAGATGTCCCTGTTGAATCCAAACACCCAGGCTGGGGACAGCTGGGGACTGGATGTGGGCTTTCATCTGCATCTTCGCTGTGGTCAGAGAGGAGGCGGGATGGGGGAAGCCTCCGGGTGCTCCTTGAGAGCTTAAGGTCAGGTTCTCGGTCTTCCACGGCCCCTTCTCTCTGCCCACGCTGCTGCCCTTCACCTGCAGCTGAGGTCTCTGGGCAGACCTCTGGCTCTGACAGGCTCTCTGGAGCACCCGGGTCTGACTTCTAGAACCTGGGAAAGGAGAGCGGGAGGATGCCAAGAAGGCACGAGGTTGTGTTCCTACCTGAACCCCATCACAGGAAGGGGACCGCCCTGCCCCAGGGCACCCGCAGCTGCTCTTCCCGGGACAGGAAGTCAGCTGAGTGCCGGGCAGGTGGTGAGTGGGGGAGGGGCTCAGGCACCTGCCCGGGTGTGTGTGGGGGGGGCATCTGCTCCGATTCCCACACACTCCGGAGGACAGAGAGTAGGGATTAGGAGCTGAAACTTTCATCCCCGTTCACTTTGCCCCCTCGTCGCTAGGAGACCTAGGCAGGCTTCCCATCTGTACAATGGGGATATTAACCGTCTCCGCTTCCTAGGGCTGCTGTGATGGTTCAGTAAGTGAACACCCGCATTGCCCAGTACGCAGGGAGTGCCAGGTCAACGCTGGCTGCCCTGATGCTCCTGAAAAGGGGCTGAGCCCTTGAACACACTCGATCTCTTACAAATAATCTGGCACTTCTGTAGCGGCCTGGCCTGCTTGGGGGAGGAAGGGTGATCTTCCAAGCAGCCCACGCCCCGGTCTACGAACTCTCCCTGGGAAAAGAGTGGCACCCTCCCTCCCCTTCTCACATGGGGTGAGCCCTTCCTGCGCCAGGGCCCCTCTCTGGCCGGCCCTGCCCGACCACAGGACAATCAGGCTTTCGGCCAGGCAGTTACAGTAAGCCAGGCCCGCCCTTCCTCGCAGGGGGTACCACGGTGCCCCGGTCCAGAGCCTCGCTGGCTTCCCATCGAGGAGGGAAGAGGGGGATGGAGAGGCCCTTCTTTGCCAGGTGCGCTGGGCTGGCTCTTACCCCCCCTCCCCCCCCAGAACACTCTGGTCTTTCCCAGTGATTTCCAGCGGCTGCCTTGTCCTGGCAACCGCCAGACCCAAGCTGCAAAGGGCAGCTGAAACAGCAAATGATGTTCAGGAGAGGCTGACTCACTCCAGCCAGGCTGCGCCCTCCGTGAATATTTTTGGACCCCAGCCTGGGATTCCTGCAGGTTCCGACAACAAGTTGGACCATCCTCTTGCATGAGGCACGTTCCAAGGTAACCCTGAGGTGGGGGAGGGAGGAGGGGAAAGGGCCCTGGCAAGGGTGCTGGTGCACCCGCAGCTCCCGCTCCGGGCCCAGGGGGACAGGACAGGGACATGGGAAGGCCTCACTGATCCCAGGCCTGACGGAGGAGGACGGGGCCGGGGAGAAGAGAGGACCCCATTTATAGAGCCCGGGCACATTCCATAATTATTCTATCTTAATCGTAACAACTCTGTATGGTAGATATGAGTAATCACAGGTTAATAGAGAGGAAACTGAGGCTGGGAGCCGAGAGGGGAGGCGGGGTGAGGGGTGGAGCCTGCTGGGGCAGAAAGGGAGGTGCGCACAGAGTTTGGCCAGGACTGCTTGGCCCCAGGACTGCCTCTGACGGCGAAGCCCACACTTCACAGGCCTGGCGGGAGGAGGGTGCAGACCCGGGTAGGGGTGTCCCTGGAGGCCGGCCCTGCCGCCCCTCCTCCGCGGGCTCCCCCCAACCTGCTCGCCTCTCTCCCCGCCAGCCCCCAGGTCCGTGCCCACGGCAACCCCTCCTCCAGGCGCCGCGTGCAGGGAGAGGGACCGCACCGGCGCCCAGGCCGCGCTGCCGCGGGCTGCGCATTCCTCAGCCTTTCCATCAGCGCGGCCGGCCCCCGACGGGCTTCCCCGCGGCTGCGAGGTCAGCGCCCCACCCCGCCGCCTCGGGGTCGGTCGCGCGCCCGCGTCCCGGCCCCTCCCCGACGCCGGTCCCCGCGCGGAGATCCCGGCCCCCTCCCGGGTGCGCCCTCCGCCCACGCCCCTGCCCCACCTCCCCGAATCCCACGTTTGGGACCCCGGCCCTGTCCCACCTCCCCGGTCCGCCACAGGGCCCCTGCCCCGCCCGGATGTCCGCGCCCGGGGATCCCGGCCTGCGCCCCTCTCCCCGGGTCCCCGCGTCCCGGAGCTGGGCGGCCTCCCGCGCCCTCCGGCCGCTGCCCGCGGGCCTCCGGGCCGGGCCGAGCCCTATTTCGGGCGCTGGCGCTGCGGGCCCAGGCACCCCTGCCCGGAAAGGAGGCTATTCTGGGCCGGGCCCGCCGAGCAGCTGTGGTCCCAGGGCTTCCCGGCAGGGTGCGCGCCCGGGACAGAGGGCACCCTAGGGCAGGGCTCTCCTCCCTCCCCACCTTCCTCCCAGGCCGCGCCCAGCTCCTCCCCTTTCTGGCCAGACCCAGGTCCTCTCCTGGGCCAGGAACATTCTCTGGTGTCAGGTCACCGACAGAGTGTGTCCAGACGCTGTGGTCACCGCGCACCCTCTTCCATAGCTCCGTGCCGCCGCCGCCGCCACCGCCACCCCAGCGGCCGCTCCCCCTGCTCCCACCTCTCTGTGGGGGGCTCTTCCCAGCACCCTGTGCTTGTACCTAGGCGTGGTCCCCGGCCCCGTGTGTCCGTTTGCCTGCCTTTCTTGCCCGTAGCCCCTCACCCACGTGTCTGTAGTGTTCGGCATCAAATCCCCACTGCCCAGTACAAGACGGATCCCCCCATATGGTCATTGGATGAAAGTTGTTACATGGTCACATCTGGTATCACATTTAGGACACTGGACTCCAGTCCCTGGGGGCCTTTTTACATTTTGTTCGGCAAAACCTTCTGATGACCATATAGCCGCCCCCTGGGCCCCTTCCCCCACCAGAGGGGGTGACCGTTTCCCTGGTGGCCTTGGCTTGGTGAATGAAGCCTCAGGCATCCGCACATGTGACCCGGGTCCCTTTGGGCTCACTCTGACCTTAGGCTCCATTGCTGGATTCCTCAGGGCCACGCTCTCCATCTGTGAACCAGGATAAAAATCTCTGTGGTCTAGCCCACGTCACGGTCAGAAAGAGGCAGCCTATATGCAACACCATCAGAATGCAAGCCGCTGCATTATCTAACCCAAGTCCCCCTCTCCTGACCCTGACCGGTATGGTTTCCCGAAGAAGAGCTCAGGGAAGGGAGGGGGGAAGCTCACATCTGTCCGTGCTTTCTAGATGTGTCACATACTCCATCCCATTCAGCCCACAGCTTCTCAAACTTTCATGTCAGCGTGAACCATCGGATCTTGTGGAAATGCAGACTGATGCCTCAGGCCTCTGGCGGGGACTGAGATGCTGCGCTTCTGGCAGCCCCCGGCGGTCTCCCTCCTGACAGCCCCCACTGCACCAAGGAGGAGGAGGAGGGACTCTCTGACAGGCCCCCCTACTGTTCTGATGACAGCACTGAGGTTTAGGGAGATTCAACTGCTCGGGTAAGGTGGTGAGGTCAGCGCTTAGGCTCAGCCGGCCACCGAATGGGAATGTAATATCCCCTCCCCTGTGGCCCTGGCTGCTGGGGTCCCCAGATGCTCCACCCTTGGCCCCACACTCCCTCCCCCCTACAACCTACACCCCTCAGCTTGCTTTCTTTTTCTTTTAAAGCATCTCACTAGGGGTGCCTGGGCGGCTCAGTAGTGATCTCAGGTTTGTGAGTTCGAGCCCGGCATCGGGCTCCGTGCTGACAGCTCAGAGCCTGGAGCTGCTTTGGATTCTGTGTCTCCCTCTCTCTGTGCCCCTCCCCCATTCACACTCTGTCTTTCTCTCTCTCTAAACAAATAAACATTAAAAACAAGTTTTTGATATGTAAAATTAAAATTTTTTATATTTAAAATGTAAAAATAAAGGGTCGCACTAATACCTGTGAGTGGTGAAATGTACTAACTGTATTCTTAGCCTCAATGAAAGCAATTAAGTTATAGATGAATAAAAAATGAAACTTGTCCCCATACCCAGCTCCCCTTAGCTCACCGCCTCCCGAAAAAGAAATACAGTCTCCAATTCACTACCGGTTCTTTAACTGATGCTGTATAGTTTTGTTTACACCTTGGGTTAGCCACGGTTTACACTGTAGGATATGGGTAAAAGGTCAGGCCAAAAGCCACCAAACCAGGGATGGCAATCTGGTGAAAAAGAGAGAGAGTGAGCGGCTGAGAGAGAGAGAAGAAAGTGTGGTTCAGCTCTGGGCCCAGGAAGAGGCAGGAAACCACTTTCTCCCCAGCGCCCTTTCCTTCTGGCTTTCAGGGCAAGCTGGAGCAGGTGAGGGGAAACCCAGCTCCCCAGCACCCTGGCCCATGAATAATTAACAGGCACCCAGTGCTTTGACTCAGTAGGTAGTTTATACTTCCTGGTGGGGAGGCCGGGCCGCCAACGTCATGTGTAAATGGAAGGTGATCAATTGGCGATTAATTAAAAGTGGAAGTGACTGGGAATGCAGAATTGGCCCAACAGAACCCGTGGGGAAGGCGGGGTTTTTCAGAGGTGCGGCTGGGCATGGGGGGGGGGGGCGGGCGGCAGTACCGGAAACGTCGTGCTCTCCTGAAAGGCGTCTGACCCATCCCGGGGGCCTGGCCCCGCCACTCACAGATGGGGCTCCTAAGTGAGGGGGCCTCAGGCTGGGGTCCTGCACTGACGTGTGCTGCTGGGGGGGGGGAGGGGGGGAGGGTTCCTTTCCTTCCCGCTCCTGCTCAGCCCGGCTGGGTGCCCCCCACCCCCCTCTATCCCTCCCTTCTGGGGCTGAAATGAGGCCAAACAGTGAGTTGCCTTTAAAGATGGACGTTTTCTCAGACTTGGGAAATTGGGGAAAAACCACAGGTCTCCTTTCTGAGAGGGAAGGAACAGGGCCCACGCGGGGCGTGGGGGAGGGGCCCGGGGACAGGGGAGGGACTGGGAAATCTCACCATGCCCACTTCTGCTTTGCAGAGCCGCTCTCACCTCATAACTTCCCCTGAAGTACCCACCGGCCATTTGCATATGTCTCGTTGAAATTCCGAGTAGGAGCGGAGCGTCACCCTCACCGCCCCCCCAGGGGGCAGCTGGAACACCACTGGGGAACCAGGGGGTGGGGACAAGTAACCCTGGGACCAGCAGTGACTGCCCCGAACCGTCCCCTGGCTGATTCACTCTTATTCAATAGACGGGCCATTTTCCTAGAATATTGCAACAGGGGGATGAGGGGTTTTCCAGAGATTTCCACTCTCCCGATGACCCAGCCCTGAGCCCCTCGAGTGGAACCCAGGAGGACTCCCACCACAAGGGCCGGGCATCTGCCCTCTGACCGATGCCACCTCCATTTCTTGTGTTCTCACGGGGCCCAGCTGGGTCTCTCCAGCTGTGCCCACAGCAGGCTCCGGGGCGGGTTTTTCTTCCTTAATGCGTATTTGTTCAACGGATGGGATGACTGGAAGTTACTTACCCCTCATAAAGAAACCGGAAGGCAACACAGTTTTAAAATTCTTTAAAAAAAGAAAAATCCATCCTTTTACCCCCTTCACTTTTTTTTTTTCTTAACGTTTATTTATTTATTTTGAGACAGACAGAGCACGAGCAGAGAGAGAGGGAGACACAGAGGCCGAAACAGGCTCCAGGCTCCGAGCTGTCACCACAGAGCCCCCCATGGGGCTCGAACCCACGAACCGAGAGATCATGACCTGAGCCGAAGTCGGACGCTTAACCAACTGAGCCACCCAGGCGCCCCTAGCCCCTTCACTTTTATTGTCCCCTTCCTTTCTGTCGTAAATGCTCCCCATTCTAAACCCTAAAGCACTGAGAGCGAAGCGCTTTGTGGGGAGAACCAACCGAGTCTCACTCCCCTCCCCTCCCCCCACCCCATCCCTGGATTTTGTCCTCAAGGAGGTGGGAAGCAACCTTCGCCTTGGCCTTGGGCTCAGGGGTCGCGCTGGCTGGTGGTGGGGAGGCTGATGTTTCATCTCCAGGAAAGGACTGTCATCGTGGGCTCACTGTTCACGCAGGGTGATTCCCTGGGGGCTTAGAAGAGCTAAGGAAAGAGGGACGGGGAATGTCAGGTGGGTCCTCTAGACTTTAGGGGATATTTTTTCAAAAAGTTCAGGGAATTCTGGCCAACAAGAGCTGTAGGTGCTAAGAGTGAAAACGGGCCGAGGAAAACCGATCAACGTGGGGAGAACGTCAGGGTTGGGATAATCCAGACACAGAAGGTCTCAGTGAGAAAGAAGGGCAGCGGGTGGATGCAGGGAATACAGCGCCAGGACCTTCTAGGGAGCTGAGGTCCGAGTTCAAAAGGAGCAGAGAAGAGGGGGGAGAAAGGGGGCGCTCTCAGCCAGAAGTGAGTGCAAAAGGAGAGTCCCAGCTCTTTGGTGAGAAGACTGAATCGAGTCCAAGAGGAAAGACAGCAACTGCCTTTGTGTAGTGTCTGTTGTGCACCAGTCAACCCCCAAAGGCCTTCAGTTCCAGAGCCCCGCGGAGCACGGGGTGTGGTGCTCCTCCTACAAGAGAGCCCCTCAGGGGCGCCTGGGTGGCTCAGTGGGTTGAGCGTCTGACTTCAGCTCAGGTCACGATCTCACGGCTCATGGGTTCGAGCCCCGCGTCGGGCTCTGTGCTGACAGCTAACCAAGAGCCTGGAGCCTGTCTCGGATTCTGTGTCACCCTGTCTCTCTGACCCTCCCCTGCTCACACTGTGTGTGTGTCTCTCTCAGAAATAAACAAAACATTAAAAAAATTAAAAAAAAAAAAGAGAGAGAGCACCTCGAGGTGGCCACACCCTTCCCTCTTCTCCAAAAGGCTCCCAAGGCCACAAAAAAAGACTCGGCTTCCGTTGCTTCTCCGTCACACTCAGAAAGAAAGCGGGACAGGTCGACATGGAGGGGAACTGAAATCCCACGGGGGGGCTGAAAGAGTGGGAGGGCAGGGGGGGGCTCTGAACCAACTCAGGTGTCCGTGCAGGGCTGCCCTTCTGGGACAGAAGGGAGCTCACGCCCCTGGCTGGGGAGAGGTGACTTTTCTGTTATCCTGGGGATGGGGAGAGCGACTGGAAGATGGGCAAACCAGGCCCCTGTAGAGCAGGAAGCAGATCCAGAAGCTGGAAACCAGTGAGGATGATGGTAATCACCAGCTGAACTCTGGAATGAATCATTAAACAAATTCATTTATTATGCCCTTAGTCAACAAATATTTTTGGAGCGTCTCTGTGTTGGGCACGGGGGTGAGCTCTTAAATTGGCGTGAACTCTTCCCTAAAGGACTTCGCAGCTACAAGCAGGGAGATCGCAATATATAATTATTGTAACGGGAACTACTTTTAGCAGAGACATACAGATAAAACACTATGGGGACTCAGATCGCACTT